GAGGTTGGCCCAGGATCGGGCAGTGTTTCGTTCTGCTGTGCATAAGGTCGCTATGAGTTGGTACTGACTCGGCACCTAATAACAACTCTATTAGACTGTCTGCTCCTTGAGGCCAAGTACGACTGAGAGATACTGCATAGCGCAGGGCTGTGTACAATGTAAATGGGTGGCCATTTTACAGGTGAGAAAAGCAAGTCTCCTCCAGGTGAACTGCACCAAGTCCACTACTCTTGAGTCTAGTCCACTCACAGGGTCTTCGAGGCTGTAAATCTTTACGGGAGTAGAAAGCCTCATCTTTCTCACCTGGGGCAACTGGTGGGTTTGAACTGCTGACCTTGTGGCTAGCAGCCCAGTGCTTACCCTGCAGCCCCCATGGGGCTCCTTTGAACTGAGTAACCCTGTAATAGGCTAAACTGCCAGATTTCTCGGGCTGGGTCCACCTCTTTTCGTCCAATGCCCTCCAGACCACAAACCAACTTCCACTGAGAAAGCAGAAGTCTAAACCTTGACTTCTGTTTGAAGAATGAATGGAAAAGGATTCGTGGCAGACAAGAACCCACCCATCTGGCTCTGGGGTGGTGGTTGACAAGCTGGTGGTAGTGGTCAACACAGTGCGGAATTGGGGTGGAAAACTGCACCAGAACCCGAGAGAGAGCGCAAATCATGCTCATACACACACACGGAAACAGAGACATACGCAAGACAACCATGAACAGCCCCTGCCCAAAGCAACCCACTTCTTCCTTACCAAGGAAAGACAGCCATCTTCCCGGTCACATGACGACGGGCCGTGACCACCGCCCTTTTCTCTAATGCAAGCCCCGCCCCGTCCGCCATGTTTGTGAAGGGCAGGCTTCCACCCGAGCCGGGCCGTTCTGGCGTCGCCATGGTTGTGAGGGGCAGCCGCTTGGCCCGACGAGCGGCGCCTTATCGGCTCCCAACGCCATGATTGTTAGGGGTAGTCGTCAGCCCCGGAAGCAGTGCCTGGAGCCTTCAAGCGCCATGATCGTAAGGAACAGTTTAATCGCCTGCGCCCTCTAGGGGCGGAGAAGATTCTAGACACAGGCGGAGAGAAGATGTAAAAAGATGTGGGCGGGAAAAGGGTCTCGGATTCAGCTAACCGCCTTGAAGTTTGGCTTGGGCAAGCCACTGCTTTCCCCTCTGAGAAAAGGTGGGCACATCGGAATCCTTCTCCCAGGGTTACCTGACAGTTGGTGTGGCGCTGTAGGGTCAGCACTGACGGCTAACCACAAGTTTGTGAAGTGCCTTGAGTCGGTTTCCACCTATAGCGACCCTGCATAGGGTTTCCAAAGAGCTTGAACCGCTGACCTTGCAGTCTGGCTCATTAACCCACTGCGCCACACCAGGACTCCTAACAAGTGGGTCAAAAAGTCGAAACAGACTCAATTGCTAACTTGGGCTATAACAGTAAACTCAGGCTGATCCAGTTGTTTGTTCCTTGCAACATTATCCCACACCCTTAATAGTCATTCTCACACATAGTCTGTACATATTAGAAAAATCAAGCAGTTCTCCTGGAGTCCTGGTGTGGCGCTGTGGGTTAATGAGCTGGACTGCAAAGTCGGTTTGAACTGCAACGTCAGCAGTTCAAGCTCACCCACCCCTAGGAAACCCTATACAGGGAGGGTCCCTATGCGTTGGAAATAATTAGCATATCATTCCGTACCCCAAAATTAGTATGTCCCTACATGTAGTGAAAATGTACCAGGAACTTTCATGTTCCCGGATGGATCAGTGTGCCCCATCTGCTTTACCCAATATGCCCCTGTGGCCCGTCTTCCTGAGTGTTTAGCTAACAGTTGGCTTGTTCTCCTGCCTGTGTGGCACTGATTCTCCTTGGGAGACGCTTGTCTGACCAGCTGCCCTTTTGGACCATGACCTGTTAAGCAACAAATTGCAAACATGATGTCCTTCTCCAGGGACTGGTCCCTCCTGATAACATGTCTGAAGTATGAGAGACTAAGTCTGGCCATCCTGGCCTCCAAGGAGCATTCTGGCTGCATTTCTTCACCTGATAAAGCACTCTGGCTGCATTTCTTCCAACACACTGTTCTTTTGGCAGCCCAGGATACTTTCAATATTCTCCTCCAACACCGTAACTCAGATGCATTAATTCTTCTATGATCTTCCTTATTCACCATCCAACTTTCTTTCACATGCATCTGAGGTTATTAAAAATCCCATGGCTTGCTTCAGGGCTTCAGGCACACCTTAGTCCTCAGATTGACATCTTTGCTCTTGAACACTTTGAAGAGGCGTTCAAGCAGATTTGCCCAGATTGGACTTACCTATCCTATAATTGTACTGGTAGGTACAGTTGGGGAACTACATATATTCCTGGATGGGTTGTAAAAACTTTGCCAGCAGGGCCTTCTAATTGTAATATATTTAAAGACTGTCCTCGCAAAGAGAGCCCGTTGGTGGTTTACCCCTTTGAGATTCTTTTCCCTCAAATGGTGTTACAGTTACTGAACAAGAATTGCAGGTCCTCACTATACATACTTCATATTGCAAATCCTTTCAACTGCCTGTGCTCACCACTGCCTATTGGGCAATTTCCCTCTTAACCAGGAAAGTTACCAGAATGAGGAACATGGTCTTACAGAAGCACATGACTTTAGTGGCGCTGTAGATCATCACTGGACTGTGAACCACAAGGTCAGCAGTTCAAATCCACCAGCTGCTCCTTGGAAACTCTGTACAGGATCGCTGAGTCAGAATTGACTCAAAGGCACTTAATAACTAATAACTATTACAGTCCAAAACTGTTTCCCCTCCTTCACACTGAATGTTACATCTCTAGTCCTGATCCTTCCCAGTGTTCAGCTTTAAAGGATTTACAGTATGAAGCTCAAGCTACTTAAGCCTTATACTTGAACCCCCTGGGGGAGTGGTGGGCTGCCCGAGGTCGTGGTTGGAGAGTTGCTCTTAGCACACTGTTTGCATGTTGTATTGGTATCATACTATGCCAGTCTCCATCCACTGTTGTGGCATTTAAATGCAATTTACTAACCAAATGCTCGCACAGACCTCTTCGCAGAAGATAATTGGTAGATGGTGGGATGCTGTGGAAATGTACCAGGAACTTGCATGTTCCCAAAACAGTGCCTAATGTACCTCATACAACTGACTGCCTTGGGAGACAATAAAGTGGTAAAAATCCCCTTCTTGACACACCATGTCGTTTTTTCAGCCTGTGAATCCAAGGTGAACTGCCTGGAGCTGAAGTCATGAGATACCCTGTATGTTTTATTTCGACCACAGAACTTGTGTGTGCTCCTCGTTTCCCTGCCTTAAAAAAAAAAGAATGTTCACTGGGAGTCCTGCTGTGGTGTTGCAGGATAAGCACTAGACTGCTAACAGCAAGGTAAGAGGTTCAAACCCACCAGTCCCTCCTCAGAAACCCTATAGAGAGCCACTGTGAGTTGTGCAGCACTCATGGTAGTGAATTTATCACCTATTATGAAATACGGAACTTCAAGATCTGAGGTGACTTGCCCCAAGGCTAACAGTGAGTCTGTGAACTGGTATTTGAACTCCAGGCTTCTAGCCAGGGGCTAATGAGGGAGGCTGTTGGTTCATTACAGCAACAACACCCCCTTTCACTTTCACAGTCAGTGTCTTCTTGGAATACACACAAAATCACTTTTTCAAGCCCCTCTGGAAAAGGTTGAAACTTTCAGGTGTGTCCTCTCCACCCTCTGTGGCAATTTGTGGTTTAGTCTTGTTTCATCAGTTAAATGAAGATCATTTTAAAGGTGAAGGGAGATGAATATAAAATGCCTACTAGCAGATGGCAGAAACCCTATATGGTGTTGCTGTGGGTCGGAACCTACTCAACTCGACGGCACTTAACAACGTCAACAGCATATGGCCAGCACTAAATACCAAACCCAACCCACTGTCATTCAGTTTCCAGTCCTGCTTGGAGCAGCTGGTAGGTTTGAATTACCCACCTGTGGTTAGCAACCTAACACCTAACTCACAGATGTACCGAGGCTCCTTTAGGACTCAGCGTTGTTAAGGGCCCTCGAGTCAGTTCCAATTCAGTGACCCTGTATAAGGTTTCCAAGGAGCAGCTGGTGGGTTTGAGTCGCCAACCTTACAGTGAGCAGTCCAGGACTCCAAGCGCTCAGTTTTATTTGCAGCTGTGTATTCTTGTGGTTGTTAAGTGCCATCGAGTTGGTTTCGACCCATAGCGATCCTGTACAGGGTTTTCAAGGAGCGGCTGGTAAGCTTGAACCACCAATTTTGTAATTCAAACCGATCTTGCGGTCTAGCACACTAACCCACAGCACCACACCAGGACTCCATATATCAGGCAACCAAAATAATCACATCGAAGCTTCTGTGATCTTTAGTTTTCAGATCTTTTCTCTCCATGACAACACAGTATGCCAGGAAGCAGCTTTCTCATGCTGGATGGTGCTGAAGTCTCACCTGGGGATCATGGGAAAATTCAGATTCTATTCAGCACATCTGGGTGATGCCCCAAAGTCTGCCTTTCTAACCAGCTGGGAGGTGGGTGCTGCTGGTAGTCCCTTGATACATAAGGTGCTGTAGCAGTTGTGGGTGGTGCAGGAATGCTTGATGACACCGGGAGGCAGTAAAGGGTCTTAAGCATGTTCAGCCACACTTACCAAAACCTGCTTATCACATGACAACTAAGTGGTTGCCCTCCAGTCGATTTCGACTCTGGCAACTCTATAGGACAGAGAGAACTGTCCTGTAGGGTCTCCAAGGCTGTAATTGTTACAGACGCAGACTGCCACATCAGTCTCCTGCAGAGCAGCTTATAGGTTCAAACCACTGACCTTACAGTTAGCTGCAAAGCACTAAACTACTGTATTCCTGCTATGGTGCTGTAGGATAAGCCCTGGATTGTGAACCACAAGGTCTGCGGTTCAAACCAGTTGCTCCCTGGAGACCCTGTGCAGGAATTGACTCGATGGCACTTGACAGACAATGTTGTCCTGGTGTGGTGCGGTAGGATAAGCACTGGACTGCTAACCAAAAGGTCAGCAGTTCAAACCCACCAGCCACTCCTCAGAAACCCAATACAGGGTCTCTATGAGTTGGAACTGACTCGATGGCACTTAACACACAATGGAAATAGTTCTGGAATAATTTGTTGAAACTTATGAAAAATGTTCATGACTAAGGGAGTTTTCCCCACCCTAGTTTGTTGGTAAGGAGCTCTGGTAGCATAGTGGTTACGAATCGGGCTGCTAATCTCAGGGTCAGCAGTTCAAAACTACCCGTGGTTCTGTGGGAGAAAGATGGGGTTTTCTGCTCCCATAAAGATTTACAGCCTTGGAAACCCTATCCAGGGTCGTTGTGAGTCGGAACCAACTCCACGGCACAGAACCACCACTCACCAAGTTGCTGGTTGTCATTAAGTTGCCGTCTAGTCAATTCCAACACATAACCACTCTGTATAGGGTTTCTGAAACGGCAAATCTCAGTCAGAATGGAAAGCCTCCTGTCTCCCACGGGGCAGCTTGTGGTTGGTGGTCCCGTGTTTACCATACCGAGCCACTGTGCTCCTGAGGCGCAAGGAAGCTGCTGCTGTTACATGTCATCAACTTAGTTTCAACTCACAGCATCCTTATATCTAGTTTCCGAGGAACAGCTGGTCGCTTTAAACCACTGAACTTGCAGTTCGCTGTCCAATGCTTATCCTACAGCGCCATACCAGGACTCATGAGAAGCAGGTATAGGGTCTATATTAATAATGGGATATACTTTTTATGAGACTTTTAATTGTAAAAAATAGCATTACAGTATTTATGGTTTGGCCAGATACTTTTCAAATAACTATCCTTTAGTAGTCCTTTCCTTGGTAAATAAAGATCAAACCAGATTTCTTTTAAGATGAAAAGTTTATTTTGCCTTTTGCCTAGAAGCAAAACTAGTGAAAATTAAAATATAAAAA